ATATATCTGTGTGTGTGTGTGTGTGTGTGTGCTGAATTTTTTGTCCTAAAGGAATTAAGTTTTCATAGGAACAATTTTTTGTCCTTAAACATTGTGCTGAATTTTATTAGGATTTGGTTTATGAATTAGCTAAATGAATTGATTATAGTTATAAAAAAACCAAAAATCATACCAACCAAATTATTTGTTTAAATTTAACTAAATATAATCAAACTTTAGATGAGCATAGCTTAAACACTATATATCTAGAAGAATATCAAGTAATTGGTGTTACAATTTATAATTTTTGGCTTTTGGGATAAATAATATCTATATTAATAATTATATCATTTGTTTATTAATATTGTTTTTATGTAGAGGAAGACCTAAAAAGTCTTGGGCATGATGTATAAAAATTATCTTAATTTATTAAAAATAAATGAAAATATGACACTCAACAGAGGTGTTTTCGTTCATTTCTCTATTTATTTTTAAAGGAGTAACCAGCTTGTCCAACGTCGTGTACTTCCCTTTCCCGAATAAGTCTCGCTTCCGGATCATATGAATGATCAGGAGAAGAGAGGAACCGAAAAGTCAGGACATACGACAATGACAAATTAAACAAGAGAAAGAACGTAAATAACTTCCATGCGACAAACCTTGTTAAGATAGTTTAAGCGTATACGCTCAAATAAGATTGGACCGAAATTGTTTGTGCCAAATATCCAATAAAGAGTGCTTACAAAAGCTACCCATAACATTAGATTCAGGTGTGGTTACCTGCTCTGGGGTCCAGAGTGCTCCCATTTAAAATGAAAACTAACACAGAGCTATCAAAGACAGTTATTTCGCAAGGGAATACTCTGATGTTTCAAAGCTCCCATTAATTCAGAAAGTGGAGGGTAAGTCTCTCACAGGCCCACATGGGTAACATACTCATTGACATATGGAGCCTACGAGATAACCAGATCATTCTGACGTGGTATCTCGATACGTCAAAGAACTTCCAGGCTAAAAAGGTAGATGAGAAATCACCGTATCCAAACAAGCAACAACTCATCAATAATTGGGTCATCAAGATGATATCAACGATAACAAAAGAAGCAATATGGCTCAAAGTGGGTAGTCAAAAGAAGGGAGAAGAAATCCCTACAATGTAGAGGCAGCCATGTCGGGGCAAAGTGAAATGCCGACCAGGTCGGGGCTGCCGGTCAAGACAAAGTGCAATATGTAGCATATAAATCACACGTACTTGGTCGATCAATAGGCATATGGCCGGGTTGACTTTTATTGACCGACCAGTTTGCGTAACATGGTCTACCAAACCCACAGAACCTACAGCGACACCGCATAAATGACATATACGTATCTAACCAATCAAGATGTATATGGTTTGGCTAATCGGTATCGTTTGACTAATTGAATAATTCGGTGACTGAGAATTAATTGAGTTAGACGATGCACGGTGATTGGTCATACCTTCCTCGTATGGGCGACCAACCCCACGAGCATACAAACATACAATGTGATGTGCAAGTTGCAATTGATTACAATCAATAGCGAACCAAACTTAACTAAAGCTACATAGACAGTTAAGGTGTTAGCTCTTGGATATGAGGCATAGCTGCCTCCTGCTTTGACGAGGAATGTGGAGAACTTCATCATCTGATTTCTCGTAGGAGAAGTCCTTCACCGTTTTTAGGATGAACTAGCTATAAAGTTTTTTTCGTCCTACATCCCTTCCATAATCTTGTAGAATGGGTTAGTTAAAATTTTTTCTCATTCTTCAAGATCTAACTATTCTAACCCCTTCATGGAAGGTTGGAAGCGCCAAAGCCTTGAGAAATTAGGATTCCGACCTACTAGGATTTAGATCTAGGGTTTATAACGGAAAGTCACTCAGATTTTACAAAGGATTTTGCCACGAATGAGCTTCCTAACCAAGGGCTTCCCTTAAGAAATCAACAAAATAAACCTAGCATTCTCTACAAACATCCTAATGTTGCCTAAGAAATAAAATGCAAAGGGCTCTAAGGAATCTCACCCCGCAGTGGTTGTTCAACATCCCAAGCATA